GCAATCCCCACTGACGCGCGGTGTGTGAAGCGGCTAATCTCCCACTGAAGCCCATCACCCTGCCACATGCTTGCTATCTGCAGGGCTGCTTGGGAGGGGGGCTCCCCAGCTCCCCACCAGCCCTGTATTGGGGGGCTGCTGTCCTGCGGAAGTCATCAGAAACAGTCTGTGGCCGGGCTCCTCAGCCGCTCGGCTCTCACCGGCTCATCGGCTCAGCTGCCGCTACACGCGCTTGCCACGGCCAGGGATTAACTTTGATATTCACGGTCTCTCCACACCACTTTCTTCCAGTTGGCCGATAAAATAGCCCAGCGGAGGGCATGTTTGGTTTTTGGGTTTTTGTTTTTTTAAGAAGAGGCTACAAAACACACACACAAACCAACCAAAAAACCCAGTGGAGACTGCGAGAAGCCACGTGCACGCCGCCTGTGTAGGAGCGTGGCGCTGAGGCCACGCAGCTGCCCACGCAGCTGCCCACGCAGCTCCCCACGCAGCTGCCCACGCAGCTCCCCACGCTGCCCCCCCACGTCTCGATCCACAGGCCTCTGGGCGCCCAGTAACTGCGGACGCACACGTCTGCCATCTCCCCGCGCCCCCATGCCGCCATGGAGCGCGGCGCGTGCCCCCTTCCAGGAAGGACACCTCTTCCACAGCCAGAAAACAGGCGCATGCGCGCGTGAACACTCCATGGCCCAGGCTGCTGGGTCTGGAAAGCGCCGTGCCCAGCCAGGGCTCCAGCCACCGGCCTCGGGCCGTCAGAAGCACAGTCCTTCCATTTACACGTGTGAGAGTTCCAACACTGACCCGGCCTGGCTCTGTGCCCCGCCCTGAGCGCTGAGCGGGACAGGAGCCCAGGGCTAGAGGTGGGCCCGCCCCCCACTTCCTCCCAGAGCCCTGGCAGGCGGAGGAGGCTGCCTTGCCTCGGTGTCCCGGCCTCCGCTGCACATCTGGTGGGCGGCCTCTACCTCGGGCTGGGCCTCCGTTCTCCCGTCTCTCCTAGGAGGGGGTGCGCCTTACATGTCAAGCCGTGCTGCGGGTAGCAGGGGCAGGATGCCGCCCCCACCCCCACTATAACTCCTGAAAGACACAAGCGAGATGGGGAACACCCCGACGCCTCCAGGGGTCCCCGAGGAGCCCCCGCCATGGCCTGGCCGGCACAGATCAGTGTGGCAGCCGCCCAGGCCACTGGAAGCACCAGTGTGGCAAGCCGCAGAACCCACAGCAGGAAGGCGATGGGCGGCCCACCTGGGAGCACCTGTGGGAGGCGCGGGAGGGCGATGCACGTCCCGCCGATCCCCCCCGGCCCTTCCTCTCCCCAGGCACCCCTCCCCGCACCCGCAGTGCTGGGGTGGACAGCACATGGCTTCGGGGGCTCTCAGTCTGGGGATGCGCGTGGTGCCCCTGGGTCTCAGTATCACGTCGGCACCTGGGATGCAGGTGGTATGCTCAGAAGGGAGCAGAGGCCGGGCGCCGGTGGCTCACGCCTGTCATCCTAGCTACTCAGGAGGCTGAGATCTGAGAATCGCAGTTCAAAACCAGCCTAGAAAATCTGTCTCTTATCTCTGAAGAACCACCAAAAACCTTGAGCTGTACCTCAAGCCTGGGACCGTGCCCAGCGCCTGAGTTCAGGCCCCAGGACTGGCACACGCACACACACTTGTCCCTCTTCCTGGGGAGGGGACTCCAGAGGTGCAGTGGGTCGGCTGCTCACTGGCCCCTAGCGAGCTGTACCCCATCCCTCCACGGGGAGCCCCGTGCATCCTGGCCTGCAGCTCCTATGTCACAGCGTGCCCCGTCTCTGGGGGAGCCAGGGACGCCAACATGTAGACGCAGAGGTTTGGGTAGATGCCGCACTTTGTGCAAAACCCTGGCCCAGAGCATGCAGTGAACACCGTCTGTTTCCACCTGGTGATTCATTTGCCCCACAGCAGGGCAGCTCAGTGCAGCCAGACCTGCACGGGGCTCTGGGTACGGACATCCAGGCCTTCTCCATACACATGGCCTCAGACCTGCACACGGCTCTGAGGACGGACATCCGGACCTCCTCCACACACACATGTCCTCAGACCTGCACACGGCTCTGGGGACGGACATCCGGACCTCCTCCACACACACGTGGCCTCAGACCTGCACACAGCTCTGGGGATGGACATCCAGGCCTCCTCCACACACACACACGTCCTCAGACCTGCACACGGCTCTGGGGACGGACATCCGGACCTCCTCCACACACACGTGGCCTCAGACCTGCACACGGCTCTGGGGATGGACATCCAGGCCTCCTCCACACACACACACGGCCTCAGACCTGCACACGGCTCTGGGGATGGACCTCCACACACACACACGTCCTCAGACCTGCACACGGCTCTGGGGACGGACATCCGGACCTCCTCCACACACACGTGGCCTCAGACCTGCACACGGCTCTGGGGATGGACATCCAGGCCTCCTCCACACACACACACGGCCTCAGACCTGCACACGGCTCTGGGGATGGACATCCAGGCCTCCTCCACACACACACACGGCCTCAGACCTGCACACGGCTCTGGGGACGGACATCTGGCCCTCCTCCACACACATGGCCTCAGACCTGCACACGGCTCTGGGGATGGACATCCGGCCCTCCTCCACACACACACACGGCCTCAGACCTGCACACGGCTCTGGGGATGGACATCCAGGCCTCCTCCACACACACACACGGCCTCAGACCTGCACACGGCTCTGGGGACGGACATCTGGCCCTCCTCCACACACATGGCCTCAGACCTGCACACGGCTCTGGGGATGGACATCCGGACCTCCTCCACACACATGGCCTCAGACCTGCACACGGCTCTGGGGACGGACATGCGGGCCTCCTCCACACACACACACACACGGCCTCAGACCTGCACACGGCTCTGGGGATGGACATGCGGGCCTCCTCCACACACACACGGCCCAGGCCCCGTAGTTGGGGGGAGGGGTACTCGTCTACCAGAAGCACAGCCCACAGCAGTCTGTGTGCCCTTAACATCTCTGCAGACGCAGAAGGGACCTGCCAGGGTGAGGTCTTACGGACTGTCCTTTCTCCCTGGGGTCCCAGGAAGGCCCCCAAAGCCAGCACCACCGGACACTCACTCTGTTCCGTGTGTCAGGGCATTGCCCAGGCTGGGCATACATGGCCACCGGACCACGGGCCTCGATCCCAGCACCGTGGCACCCAACCTGGGTGGCCTCCGCACAGCAAGACGCTGTCTAAAGTAACTGACCCCCGTGGAGGAGCTCCTTCTTATTTTGGTGGCACTGGGCTTTGAACTCAGGGCTCCCCACTTGTTGGGCAAGACGCTTTACCATCTGAGCCAGGCCTCCAACCAGCTTTTTTCAGACAGGGTCTCAGGCTTTTGCCTGGGCTCCTTTCAGACCACGATCCTCCGACCCCCTACTTGATAATAACTACCCCAAAGGTTTGTTGGGAATGGTGTTTGCTCCGCAGGACGTTGAGAAGAGCTCATGTGTGCTGCCCAAGCTGATCTGAGGTCAGTGGTGGCTGACAGGCTCGGGGGCGGGGGGCAGAGTCCCCATCTGCTCCGTGTACGGTCGGCTTAGGGAAGCCCCAGCACTGCCCGCTGCTGTGCATGCCATTTAGATGGGCGGGCAGTGACCCCAGGAAGGGGGCCCTGAGTGTTCCAGATGGCAGACAGCTCTGAGAAACAGCTCAGGGTGAGATCTCCAGGCACGGCCCATCCCTGCAGCCTCTGCCCCCCGCCCCCCAGCAGCTGGAGTCCCAGACATGCTTCTACCCCCCCAGCAGGTGGCAGGAAGCCAGTCCCCCACACGCAGAAGCTGGCTCACGGCATTGCTAAGTGACTGCAGACACGAATGCGTCCGTGTCCGCGGTGCACTTGCGGGAAGCCGACACGGACGGAGGCCCCGCAGCTCAGAGCAGCCACGAGGCGCGCCCTGGTTCGCAGGACGGACATGCCAGGGGCATCGGTGCAGCCTCTGACGCGGGCAGCGGCGGGCGACGCGGGCCGCACCCGGGGCTCCACAGCCATGCAAGCACGACACCCCCGACACGCGTGGGCGCCAAACACGCGGTCTCACCCCCACCCCAAGGCAGGGCGAGCGACGGGGAGGCAGACGCCGCCCCGAGCCCCTGCCGGCTCTGGATGGGACGGCTCCATCTCTTGAAGCTCACCGCTGCCGGTCCAGCCAGAATGCTCCCCGCTGCAGGTCCTGTGGAAGGCCCGGGCCGGTGGCAGCAGGCCAGCAGGCTTGCCCGCGGGGCAGGGCGGGGCCCAGCCCGCCGCAGGGCGATGGGGGCGGGGAGGAGCCCCGGGCACGGCCCTCCTGGTTGGCACAAGGGGCACTGAAGAGGGGGAGGGTGGTCAGCACCTTCCTTCGTCTCCACGGAGACGTCCATCCCATAAACACATGGGAGGAGCCCCAGACACCTAACCTGCCGGGGTGGGGCCCTGCCCACTGCCTGGCACGAGCTAATTCTCTGCCTCACTTCTTCCCTGGGTTTCCCTTTGGGGTGGGGGTTGTATTTTTAAGGCTATGTTCTGGAACAGTCTGGGGCTCGCAGCACCCCTGCGGAGATCGCTTCCTGCCCCTGCTCCACCCCACGTGCGGCCCCCCACCCCCAGCACTGGGGCCTTGGGAGGCTGGACCCAAGCCCAGCGGCGGCCAGCCCCAGCAGCCCGACATTCGACAGTTCTTCTCTAAGGAGAATTGATGTGGGGCAATATTTAGGAAAATGAGAGGCATAAGACGGATGGAAAGCTCCAGATCCAGCATGGGTTTCCCATTCGTGGCCCTGTCCTCCCCACCCTGTCTGTTGTCCCCACAGATAGAAACCCCGTGGGGAGAGACGGGGGGGGGCCGGCCTGTCGGGAGGCGGCGTGCACCCCAGCCCTCCCGCCCCCCGAGGGAGAGCAGGCCCCGAGGGGGGGGAGGGGGGCTCCCGGAAGCCGGCCGCCTCTGCAGCTTATCGTCGTGCGACTCACCGATGTCTGTCTCCTTGTGGTTCTTGATGTATTCTGCCAGCTCAAAGTTACCCGCGATGATGGCCACCTGCGGAGAGGGGAGGGCGCACGCTTCAGCACCACGGGCCCACGGGGGAGGCTGGCGCCACGCGCTGCCCACGTACCACATGCTGCCCACGCTGCCCACGCTCCACGCACTGCCCACACTCCACGCGCTGCCCATGTACCACATGCTGCCCATGCTCCACGCACTGCCCACGCTCCACGTGCTGCCCATGTACCACATGCTGCCCACGCTCCACGCGCTGCCCACGCTCCACGCGCTGCCCACGCTCCACGCACTGCCCACGCTCCACGTGCTGCCCATGTACCACATGCTGCCCATGTACCACATGCTGCCCACGCTCCACGCACTGCCCACGTTCCATGCACTGGCCATGTACCACATGCTGCCCATGTACCACATGCTGCCCATGTACCACATGCTGCCCATGTACCACATGCTGCCCACGCTCCACGCACTGCCCACGCTCCACATGCTGCCCACGCTCCACGCGCTGCCCACGCTCCATGCACTGCCCATGTACCACATGCTGCTCATGTACCACATGCTGCCCACGCTCCACGTGCTTCCCATGTACCACATGCTGCCCACGCTCCACGCACTGCCCACGTTCCATGCACTGGCCATGTACCACATGCTGCCCACGCTCCACGCACTGCCCACGCTCCACGCACTGCCCACGCTCCACGTGCTGCCCATGTACCACATGCTGCCCACTCTCCACACGCTGCCCATGCTCCACGCACTGCCCACGTACCACATGCTGCCCATGTACCACATGCTGCCCACGCTCCACGCACTTCACCTGAGCTCCACGCGCTTCATCTGAGCCCACGCTCCACGCACTGCCTACACTGTACACACTGCCCACTCTCCACACACTGCCCACGCTCCACGCGCTGCCCACGCTCCACGCGCTGCCCACGCTGCCCACACTGCCCACGCTCCACGCACTGCCCACGCTCCACGCACTGCCCACGCTCCACGCACTGCCCACGCTCCACGCGCTGCCCACGCTGCCCACACTGCCCACGCTCCACGCGCTGCCCACGCTCCACGCGCTGTCCACGCTCCACGCGCTGCCCACACTCCACGCGCTGCCCACGCTCCACGCACTGCCCACGCTCCATGCACTGCCCTCGCAGCACCATCCATTCACTCGGCCCGCTTGACCCAACCCTGCACAGCGCCTCCTAGAGACCCCCGCTGTGTCCTGCAACCAAGTGACCACTGCACTAGGGCCTGCGTGGACCAGCAGCTGTCTCTAGTCTTGTGTGTGTGTGTGTGTGTGTGTGTGTGTGTGTGCTAGGACCTGAGCTCAGGCCTTAGGCATTGCCCCTTAGCTTCTTTTTCAAGCAAGGCCAGCCCAGCACTCCTGGCTTTTTGGTGGTTCCCTGGAGATATAAGTCTCCTGGACTTTCCTGCCCAGGCTGGCTTCAAACTCTGGTCCTTAGATCTCAGCCACTGGAGCAGCCAGAATTACAGGTGTGAGGCGCCCTGTCCGATTTGTCTGGAGTCTCTGAGGGAGAGTATTCACAGCAGTACAGATTTCAACAAGGCCAGAACCTAGAAAGGCTCCACCCCCAACACACACAGCACATAGCGGTCCGCTCATGCCCCGGAGCCCCAACTTTCTGGTCAGACTCGAGGTAGTCCCTCTCACTGCAGACAAAGCAAGCGTTCAAACGAGCACCTGGGGGCCCTCGGGGTTCGGGTCAGTGTAAGTCTCTTCCTGCACCCCAGGGCAGACATCGGGGAAGTCCACAGGAAGTCACCCCAGTGCGGCCCTGCAGCCAAAGCTACAGCACAGCACTGGCTACGCCAGGGCAGGTGAAAGCAAGGTCCTGGGCCCGGGCCCTCAGGCCCAAAGGGAGACCAGAACCAGAGCCACGTGGCAGAGCGCAGAGCCACGTGGCAGAGCGCAGAGTCCCAGCAGTGGGGGGGGGTGGAGGACGCCACGCAGGCGGGCGTGAGGCAGGCAGCCCCCACCGTCCAGCTGACGCGTCCACTCCTGCCTCAGTGTCTCATGTCCCGCACGGCTCTGACCCACGAACAAGGCTGGCGTTATACACACACCCTACCTCCCTGCCACCCCAATAACGCCACAGCAGACCGAGACACCCCGAGGTGAGGGCGCATGGAGCACCCCAAGTGGCCAAACACCACGGCACAGCCCATGGGGGGTGCTCCCATTGTAATCCTGCGTGAGGAAAAGAGGAAACCATATTTAAGTTGAGAAATGGAGCCTTTGTAAGGGTCACGTGTGCGTGTGTGTGTGTGTGTTCACGTGCCAGTACTCCGGCTTGAACTGGGCGTGGGCACTACCCCTTAGCCTTTTCACTCAAGACTGGCATTCTACCCCTCATCCACACCTCTGTTCCCAGCTTTTTTTCTGGTTCGTTGAAGGTAAGAGTCTCACAGACTTTCCTGCCCAGGCTGGCTTCCAACTCTTCACATCTCACCGTCCTGGGTAGCTGGGATTACAGGCGTGAGCCACTGTACCTGGCAGGCCTCGCTTGTACATGCGGGCACACGGGGAAATGTGTGTGCCATCCTCTCTCTCTCTCTGCACCCTGCCGGTCCTGTCTCTGGGGAGTACACACACATTAGGTCTAGGAGTGCGGCGCTTTTGCAAGCCATCTTAAGATGGAGAAATGGCTTCCACATCGGATCGTGGTTCCAGGCTGCAAGAGTGCTCTAAATATCCATGCTGAAGTGGTTCTGGCATCTCAGCGGGGGGCGGGGGGCAGGCTCCGGGAAATGGGAGCGTGGGGGGGGGTCCTTGTGACAAAGTGGCAGAGAGCGTTGCTGGTCCTGGCGGAAGGAAGGCAGCCCTGCGGGTGATAAGTTGGGTGCGCACTGGAGATCTCGGGGCGAAGCGCGGCAGGAGCAGCTGGGGCTCCCGACTGTGAGCTGAATTCAGAAGGGACTGTCAGGAAAAAAGGAACGGAAGCCTGACTATTTGGGAAGTTCTGTCTCACCCATATGACGAGAAGGGAAAGCAACACCAGGAAAGGAGCCGGC